GCTCCTGGAATTGACACCTCCTCATCTATTATTGGGAGTGGACTACATCCACCCTGATCGAATTGGCCCTGTCAACACTGGTTCTCCACTTGCGAAGTAACTCCTGGCTCTCCATGTGTCAGTATATAATGCCTGCATCTGTAACTTTCACTCTATGCATCTGAAGAAGTGAGGTTTTTACCCACGAAAGCTTATGCCCAAATAAATCTGTTAGTCTTTAAGGTGCCACCAGACTCCTTGTTGTTTCCTTGATCTGCTAGCAATGCTCCTACTAATGCAGCCCAATATGCTGTTAGCCTTCTTGGCAACAAGGGCACACTGCTGACTCATATCCAGCTTCTCATCCACTGTAACCCCTAGGTCCTTTTCTGCAGAACTGCTGCTTAGCCAGTCGGTCCCCAGCCTGTAGCAGTGCATGGGATTCTTCCATCCTAAGTGCAGGACTCTGCACTTGTCCTTCTTGAACCTCATCAGATTTATTTTGACCCAATCCTCCAATTTGTCTAGGTCACTCTGGACCCTATCCCTACCCTGCGGCATACCTATCTCTCCCCCCAGTTTAGTGTCATCTGTGAACTTGCTGAGGGTGCAATTCATCCCATCATCCAAATCATTAATAAAGATGTTGAACAAAATCAGCGCCAGGACGGACCCCTGGGGCACTCACCAGGGCCGTCCTTAGGATTTATGGGGCCCTAAGCAGTATCATTAAACTGGTGCCCCTATGCTCCAGTGAAGGCGGTCCCCAGCCGCCACCGCTGACCCCAGTGTGTTGAGGGGTCACAGCCACCACTCTCATCCACGGACTCCCAGAACCACCACCCATTGCTGACACACCCTGAGCTTCGTACGCAGCAGATGCTGTGGCAGTGAGTCAAGCCAGGCTTCGTGCTGTCACATGGAGGCTGCATCTTGCCAGAGCCCAGGGCCCTCCTGCAGCCCCAGCCACTCCTGGCTCACCATGAGCATTGTGACAGGAAGTACCAAGCAGTAATAATAACAACAATAATACAAGTGTGTGTGTGCGCGTGCGTGACCGTGTATGTGTGTGTGTGTGACAGAGTGTGTGTGCATGTATGTGTGTGTGAGAGAGACAAAGGGAGAGACTGTGTGTGTGTATGTGAGACTGTGACAGAGTGTGAGACTGTGTGTGTGTGACAATCTATTTCGGGGGTCTGTGAGAGGCAGAGTGTATGAGAGCCAGTCTGTGTGCGAGAAAGACCGTGTGTGTGTTAGGGAACTGTGAGAGACAGTGAGCGCACTGTCACTTTAAATCCTCCCCCCCCGCCCGCCCGCACATGGAAAATTTCGCTCCTCCTGTCCTGGCCCCGCCCCCCCCCCCCCGACAGGCCGGCTGCAGGGGGGGTCTCGGCGCTGGGCCGGGGCTGCGCCGCTCTGGGCTCCCGAGGCTGGGTCGGACTCGGCAGAGCAGGAGGCTGAAGCCCTCACCGGCCGGCTGAGGGGGGAAGCCGGCCAGCCCAGTGCGGGGCAGGGGCGTCCAGCGAGGGTGCCCTGCGCAGCCGCCTATGCCTAGGGACGGCCCTGAGGGGGATACAGGGCTTAGGGGCTCGGAGGCGGGGGGGGGCAGGGGGTAGGAGTGAATGAGGTGCAGGGATTGAGGAGAAGGGGGCACGTACAGTGCAGGGGTTGGGGGCAGGAGGGAGGT